TAAAATCTAATTTAAAAAAAAGACACATAACACACGTCATTATAATAGTTGCATACCACAGAAAGAAGGTAGGAGAGGGGACATAATATAAAACTGGTTGAAACTTTTGTGTTTTGTTAAAACTTGACAACCGGGGGCCGGGGGGGTGGGGGGATGACATGACAACCAAGAGATACCATACCAACCAATCTGAGCAGCAGTTTCCAATTATTCACAAATAAAACCATCACAATTTAAAGTAAAATTCTTACCTATTTCACAATTTAGCAGTTTCATCAGAGGAATTGAGTCCCAAAGATACTAATTTTGAGCTGTGCACAGTTCTGAGGCTTTGGGGTGACACTGTGAACATGTCTAGAAGCCCCAACAAGTTGGCAGCTTCTATACTGACAAACACCTTGTACTGCTAAGTCACGTGCCAAGCCCAAACGTCCTACTCATCGTGGCCATCTGGACAGGTGTCTGAATGATGAGCAAGGGGCTCTTTACTCAGATTGGACTGACAGACACACAGCAGAGATCTCTGGCTATTTTCAGTCGCTTATTTGTATCAAAATGCTAGCATAGTGTCTCAGTATCCACTGTGATTGGTGTGCAACAGCTGGTAGGTTTAAGTACAAACTATCACAGTACACTGTCTCCTTTATATGTACAATTTGGTCAAACCTATGAGGATTGGGTTCATTTTTCTTGTCTCTCGAATGGCAGATCATGCAATGCCTCCCACCCACACCATTTGTGCAAGATGCAGACATGCTTTGAAAAGCTAATCTGTTAAAAATGTCATCATCTTCTCCTCCCCAGCCTCAATAATTATTAGGAAATCCATTCATAATAAGAAACTATCATTTACTCAGCAGACACCTCCAAAACACTGAACATAAGGTAGGCTAAATACAAACTTGTCCATTCAGACAGAAATATGTGGCTGTGAAAAACATTTGTAGATCATGATTGGGATGAAGGCCACATTAATGAATACAAAGCACTTGTAGTCAGAGTTCTTTAAGATTTCTTGAAAGCCAATGCTACTGGGCAGGCATGGTGGCACAGGCCTGTAATCTGAGCACTTGAAAGGCTAAAGTAGGAAGATTGTTTTGAGTTTGAAACCAGCCTAGACTGCAAAGTGAGCTCAAGGTCAGCCTGAACTACATAGTGAGACCCTGTCTCAAAAAGAATTTTAAAAAGCCAAAACTGAGAAACTTAACATGATTAAACATACTGACTCCAGCCTGGTTGATAACAGATACCATAGTCCACCTGCTGGCACTGCAGAATTATGTGCAAATAATACAGCCAGTATTTGAGGTGCTCCTGCCTGTTACAGAATAGAATAATGATGGCCACCTTGTGAAGACAGATGCATCCTTGGGGGTATAATACTCACCCATCTTTATCTCTGGATTCTGCTTTGCCAAAAACTCCAGATCCCACAAGAAGGTTAAATTTGATCAGCATGGGCCCAACAAGCAATGGGGACTTCTTGGGAAAAGCAAGCAGTGACAGTGCTGTGGTGGGGGACACTGGGACAGAAGTCAAGTTGTTCATGAGGCTGGGGTTAAAATCCACACCAGAACTGGAGTCAAGATCTAGGAAAGGCTGGGCAGAGACATCCAAAGGAGGTGGTACATGGGCTACTCCAGTCTGGGACTCCCCGGGGGATAGGGGGCTTGCCCATTGGTGGCAACAGCTACTCCCAGCTGGGGCTCCCCAGTGGGGCTTGCCCATTGGTGGCAACATCTAGCACAGGCATGTGGACTCTGATCAGCCTGGGCAGGTGGCTCAGGTTGAGACCAGCCAAATAGTAGACAAGAGTGATACGGAAATCCAGTGCGCAAGTGGCACAAGCAGGTTGCAGGCAGGCAAAGGGCAACATGGCATTGCCACTCAGAAGCAGCTCCCAAGACCTCACCTTCCCATCATTTTGAGAGAGAGGTGAGCTGTAGGCAGGGCCACCAAAAGAAAAAAATTTTAAGCTTCTGAAGTAAAATTTTTGTTGATTTTCCAAAACAGGATATCACTCTGTGGCTCAGGCTAGCCTCGAACTTGCAGAGATCATCCTGCTTCAGCTTCCTGAGTACTGGGATCACAGGCATGCATTACTACACTTGGGTTAGGAATAAACTTTTTAAATATAATTTTTTTTTTTTT